ATATACCATGCCACCTTCCTCACACCTTTTAGCCTATCGTGACTCAACCGCCGATCCTTTCTCGACTCCTTGCACTCCCAGTATAGCCAGCTTATCGCCTAATATCCAGCCGGAGGTGAAAATGTCGAGACGTTTCGTGCCCGTCGGATTCGAGTTCACGTTTCTATACCTTCTGGCCCCGTTCCACCCCTTTTGCTTCAAGAAGGTGACAAAGTAGCTGTCCAAAGTAGAATTGTATAGTGTGGTTCCGCAAAGTTTTTCCTTTTCCTAGAAACTATTGACGCCAGGATGCTTATCAGCGAAAGCGGTTTAACCTCACCTCGCTACGTAATGAGTACTTCGCGAGGGTTCAACACAACCGCGTGGTTACTGATGGGGTAGTTTGCTAATGTGTTTCAGAGATTGCAGTACATTGCGTGCAGAAAGTTGATGATTTCACGAGAGTATGCAAAATATATAGGAATAGACAAAAGTTTGATCTAACACACGGAAAAGACAATTTTGCAAAAGCACCTAAAAATTTAGTTACAATAGATACAGAAAATTACTTTGTTGAATCATCAAAAATCATAATTATATAGGATTCAAACTGGTTACTAAAATGTTAAATCATTTCGCAGCATTATTTATCTTGAGATTTTTTACGTTTTTATAATTATTTTGATAATCAAAATTATTTTCAGGTCTATTTAATTTTTAGATACTTCAGGAAAATTCTTTCCATATGTATAGTAACGATATTCATAAAAGAAAAATATAAAAATCTATCATAAAAAAATATCGAATTACTCGGAGAATAAAAAAACATTATCTTTATATTCCAAAAAAATTATCGCACGACTGAATGTATCTTAAATAAAAACGCAATTTATTTATTGCAGACTCGTTAAATGAAAGCAAAGTTACCGAAATTTCGAATTTTGCAGCTGCAGTGCAATCGTGGCAGCATTCCGAAGACACATGGAGCTCTACTCTCGATGTGTCAAGCGCTTAACGATGTAATGTTGCGTACGTTAAGAGCACATCACGTAAATCAAGTTAACGTGGTACCGCGATGAAAGCCTTCGCTGTCGGCTCGTCGGTGAAATTCGCTTTTCGTCCTTCCCTTGCCGCGATGCCCGTAAAATTCGATCAGGAACGCCGTATTCTCGTTGGCTGATAGCGTCATTACCTTACTTCGCCATTTTGTCGACAACACAGCGAACAAGGGAACTGCATAGTGTAGGAAACGAATTGCGCGTTTCCCCTAGGAATTTTGTGGGATGAACTTTCTCACGTGTATCATGTTCAATGGTGGACAGAAATATCTAATAATACTTTTGTTTCACTAGTATATGTACCGCTGCGCATTCACCGTGAAATAAATTCTATTCTAGCTTCTTGAGCTTCGTTTTAAACCAAAATCTCTCTTTTTTCAAATGTTTCTAAATCGCGCGGCAGATTTTTGGTTCTTTTTTAACGGACATTGTCGCGCATTACGCTAAAAGCGTAAGGGAATAAACTTGGAGAAAAATATGAAAAAAATGGAGATTGACGATCCAAAAGAAAGGAACTATTGAGAAGAAATAGTACAACGTGGAGGCAACCAGACGTTGGGCGTTTCCTTAATTGCATTTTTATGCTCGCCCGGATTTCCGGATCGGCGAAAGGGTCTAAGGGTCCAGAAGAAAGGAGTTTTTATTATACTAAAGGCAGAACTCTCTTACAATCTTGCGGCTAACCATTAATGCGTCCTGACTCTTTCACAAAACGAACGAAATCGGTGTAACGTGATCTTTGCTTAGTCGAATAATTTCGAGCATGGAATATCTGTCTATATTGGTCGATAAAAGAAGAAATAGAAGATATTAATAAAATATTAATAAAAATAATGAGAATTTTATTGGACCGTATATTTGAAAATTCAACGATAAGAAATAGAAGTAATGGCCGTAACTACAGTCAAAGCTAAATCTTTAATGCTTAAGTAATTTAATCTGAATTACTTATATATACTATATATACACTTATTGCACATATACTATATTTATTGTATAATCTTTCGAACTGCGTGTTAAATTGATTTTCCGGACTTATAAATTAAATTACTGTATTAATATCGATAATTAAATTGATGAGCAATTTTTAATAATTTGATGCTCAATTTGGCATCTTATTAAAAAGATGTTAATACATGTATACTGAAAAACTGTAAATAAATTTAATATTAATAAAATTTAATAAAATATTAATAAAGATAAAACCTGAACCTGATAAATTATTCATCAAGAAACTAATCAAATTAGAATGTATTTTTCGTTTCGTTATTTCATAATTCAGAATATAATTACTAAAACATAAAATTTCAATCAGATATCTTTCAAAGTGAAACATCTTGAACGAAAGAGCGAAGAGATACTTAAAACTAATTATGAAAAAAGTCTGGCTGGAGAGATGAATCTAATTTCAATCTTAACTGAAAGTAGATTGGAATTGGAAGACGATCGTCTTGACCTTTCGGAAAATCTTGTTTCCACAATTAATGAAGACGAAAGAGTTCAACAATATTTCTTAGATATTATGAAATATCAGAAATAAACAGATTTGTGTAAAAATAACAAAAATTAATTATGCTCGGACATCTCGGAAGTCTCAAACAAAAGAAATCGGATCATTGTATACGTTACATAAAGTATAATGATAATCGGACGTGGTTCTGTACTTCGTAATTTCATCATTTTTTTCACAATAATTAGCGGCCTATAAGAATTTCCTTTTTCCGGGGGTGTATTACGTATGAAGCGCATGATGTTGTTTACTAAATAATAAAGAAGGATAAAATGATGCAGCATACGTTGCATGCGTAATTTGGAACGCATCCCGGATTACAACTCTTTTCCATCACGTCTCCGATTTTATGAGCGGAATCGCGTTTCTGTGTTATCCTAAATATCCCCGGAAACTCGATAACATAGTTGAACAATGGAACAGAGTCCCGATGGAAATACGAGAAAGAAGAGAGAAGTGAATTCCGGTTGAACGAGGGCTGCACCGAATTCATGTAACAGTGGCGAATAAGTTCGAACTGTCTTGTAACATCGACCGTTCGTTCTATTACTCTCTCTCTCTCTCTCTCTCTCTCTCTCTCTCTCTCTCTCTCTCTCTCTCTCTCTC